TTAAGGAGGAAGCTGCCTATTCCATTTTCAGGCAGCTTCATGTTTCATTGGGTAAAATCTGTCCCCCTGGAACTGCGATTCATTCATCCAGTTGTGTTGTCTGCAAAACACAGCTAAGCCATCTCACTCAGCTCTCAGCACTGCTCTGAGCCTTGCTTTACCAGGTGAATTGCTTCATAAGTAGGGTTACTCTTGCCCATTCCATCTTGCCTGAATAGACTCCAGTTTGCCCATCCCCTTCACTATTGTAGGACACCTAAAACTCCACTCAGAGTTCAAATTAATTCTGACCAATCAAAATTCTATCCAATCTTTGATCAGGGTGCTGAGCATCTATGATTGCAGCCCCAGGTTGAATATGTTCTTTGGGAAGCCACATCGAATCTTCAACTAATCTTAGTCTACAAGAGATGTGGTGAGTGGGGACATTTCAGCCATTCTTTGAGAGCCTGGGCTACTGGATCCCAGGGCACTGAAGACCCTCACTGAGCTGCACATAACTTCACTTTAATAAAAATTGTTCATTGTGGCAAATACCTTATCTAAACTTTATACTAATTTTCATTCCTTGCCATGCAAGGAGTGGTATTCTCTTTTCTTTTGCATATGCAGAGTAAATTGTTTGTTTTTACTTTTGATCCAGTGACAATTAATCAGTGAATGTCTGAAGAGGCAAAAAAAAGAAAGTCAGCCTCTCACAGGCAGAACTGGCATGTAAACTCACACCCTTCAGTTCTTTCACAACACAACCCCAGGATCTTTCTAAGTGTCATTTATGTTTGACCCTAAAATTGAAAGTATCTCTAGTTTTTTGTATTTTATTTTATGTTGTTCATCTCAAGGATGACCAAATAGGCTGGTGAATGGGAACTCATAACATGCTGCTATCCCTTAAAATTCCCTGGCTCTAAATTAAATTGCTTAGTTTCTTATGCCTTGTATTTTAATTAATATTTAATTTTTGTCATGATTCTTGTAGAAATTTTTATTGTCTAGTTTTACAATCGAAAATGTCAAGTATACTTTTGGGAAAATGTTTTATAAATAACTATAAATTTTGGAGATGAAACAGATTAGACACCCTTCCAAAAAAAAAAGACCGTGAGCCTGGACTAAGATCTCCCTTGCTGCTTATTCTGATCTTCAGAGTCAATCTGCATAGACAGAGAAACCTGAGTATTGTCTAATGAAGCCAGTCTTCTCACTTTACAAATGACAAAGACAATGTACAGATGGTTCACCATGACTTAAGTTCACAGGGATAATGACAGCTTTCAGCACAAAAGATCTTCTTGCAAACCACAGACACAGAGTATCAGTATTGAAGGAATGCAGAGAGGCAAGAGATAGCTCGAGGGTGGGTTCTTTGGGGAAACACTATATGAGTGTGAGGAATTGAAATAAAAAGGAAGAAAGCACTTTCTATCAAAATCTTTTTCACCAAAATAAGACATTAGCAATAGAAAATTTGGGAAGTGCTGAGAGTACAGGAAACGTGAGTAACTCATTATCCCATCCCATGAAAGCAGTGCTCCTGGTACATTTCTCTACAGTCTTTTTTTTCCCTAGAACACCATTTGTTGTTGTTTTCTACCACTGTGATGGTACTAGTTCTAAAGGAACATTATAACTCAAGGCTTATTCCATGTTTTAAAAAACTTCATAAATATCACTTTAATTGCTAAATGACAATATAGGAAGACATTTTTGCCATAATCTTCTTAATCTTGCTCTTATTTTAAATAAGTAAGTAGAAGGGAAATATTTAAATGAAGGGAAAGGTATCTAGAAGAGGATATGTGTTTATAGCAAATAAGAACACCAAAATACTCCTAGATGTATAATTGGGCTTTGAGGTTTTGGGTGATTTTGTTTCATTCTTTATGCTTTTATCAGTGGTACAAAAACACAAATAAGTACACCTAGTCTTATTGAACACTTACCATGTAATTTATGCCATGGATACATTTTCTCATTTAGTCTTCATAACAGCTAACCAAGATCACTATTATGTCATCATTTTAAAGTTCAAGAAAACAAGACCAAGAGAAGTTAGCAGACACACAGTCACTTATGGAGCCAGAATCTATTCCCAGATCCATCTGAAGATAAATCTGCTGTCTTTAACCACCATACTGCATTTTCCAAGTTTTTAAATGAATATTTACTATTTTTTTATAATCAGAAAGCTATTTTTTATAATGAAAATGGATTGCAAATAATAGCTCATTTCTGGTGTAAGCAGATAACATCTTACCTACAAAGTATAAAAAACAATCTACTAAAATCCCAGAGGAGCTAAGAAAATCATCAACGTATAAAATCCTCTCAGTCATGTCCAACATGTTTGAAATTCAAATATGTTTCAGGTTTCTCTGAAATTGATTAGAAACAGAAAAAAGAAGCAGTGTTAATTGCAGTTACGTGAATAAAGTCTGAATTCTGAGACTGGATGAAAATTGATTGTGCTAAAAGTAGTCTCCTGTAATTAAATGAAACTATGCTGCGCACTTTAATTAGCTAGTAAAACTTACTCTAAATGGTAACAGTAAGTCCTGGTGTATCTCATTGAATAACAGCTTGGCAGCCTCACCTCAGTGAGGTGCTGTTTTCCACAGCAGTCTTACTTATGCATATACTATTCTAATTTGAAACTGCAGGAAAGGTGGTGTACCCTTTTGTAATTCAGATGCACACATGATAAAATTTTCCTCATTCTTTCATTCAGAAAGCTTATAATAGCTTCAGATCCCAAGGAATCTCAGTAGGGGAACATAACTTCCTTAGAGAGTACTTGAAGTCATTGGTATTTCACATCACCCACCAGGGGGCTTAGGAAAGTTAGTAAACAGTATAAAATTCACTTGATAGATTTCGCTTAGTTTCTATACAGACAAGCTGAACCCACATATTTGAAAAACTATTCAAGAAAATGAGTCTCCAAAAATTTTCTCTGAATTCCATAGTATCTACATATTCAGATTTATAGTATTTTAAAGAGGAAAGATAACTTATTTTTCTTTTTATTGTTTTTAACCTTTTAAAAATCTTAACAGCAAGGAATACTCACAGAAAATTCAAAAAGTACAGAAATGTATAAGGAAGCAGGAAAAACATCACCCCTGATCTCTTCATTCAAAAACAGATAACTCCGCCACGGCCGCATAATTCCTTCTAGGCTTTTTTCAAACCATTGCTTTTGTATGTCTAAGGTCATTCTATTGACACAATTTGGTAATGTACTAGACATACTCGTTGAAAAAGAAAATTTGAGTTTAATCCTTAACCTTACTCTGGTGGTCACTACAAGTGCTCTAGCCTCTCAGACACAGATTGTCAGGACACCTGCTGCCTGAGCCTTCGTTGAGGGGAAGCTTCTGCTAAAGAGATAGAGCCCATTTCTGTGGTAGTAGTGAGTATTCAGGACATAATAAAGAGGGAGAAGAAGACCTGTGATCCACTTAGAAGCCTAGGATTAATCATGCTGGGCTGGCCTTTATTCACAGAATGTTTATGTCCAGAAGAAATAAGCTTATAATTATCATTCAGAGAAACTTTGGAAAAGAGTTTCTGCCACCAAACCACCACCACCCAGGCATGATGGTGGAGTAGAGGGTGAGCCTGGGAGGCCTGAAAGGTGGTAGGCAACCGTGATGCTACATCAACAAGTCATAGGACTTAAAAACACAGAAATCGGGATTTGTAGGTAAACCGTATGGATCCCAGTCCCAAACTCAGGTGTTCAAGGAATAACCATATCTTTGTTTTCATTAAAGAAAATAAAGTATATTACCAAACTGGCGGGTAATGTAGTCTTGGCACCAAATGTGGAAGGCATATGTGATGCCAGAAATCAAGGGCAGTCTCCACCCTCTCGTCTGTCATGCTTACTGGCAACCAACCAAGCCCCAAGTGGTACCTTGCAATCCAGTTTCTCTGTATTTCCCTGTGATGTGGGAATCAGAGCTCAGGTCAGCCCTTCAGTCACACCCTCTGTCATCCTTTTGGAGGTTGGGCCAATTTACCAGGAAATACCTGAGAGCCAGGCACAGCCTCCTGTTCATCAACACCACTCTCCTCTTTTCCTGCCCCTGCCAAGTTCCCTTTCCTTTCTTAGGCTCTTCAAGATGCTTGCCCCTTTTTTCTCCCCCCAGGACACCTAAAGTACTTTCTTCTGGCTTAATAAAGTAGAAACCAACCAGGGACAGATACTGCAGAAAAGTTATGCTTCTTGGAAAAGTCCAAGAACACACACCTCCTCTGAAGTAAAGGAGAGCAAATGGCTGGTTTCCCTAAAAGAAAATTATAAAGAGAAAACCACAAAGTAATTTTTTCAAAACATCATCCTGCCATAGAAAAGACCTGGAATGGGATTCAGTCAACGTCACACCCAAAGTTGGGGTCCTTCATACTTGAGAATCAAAAGGCCACAGTATCCATAAGGTGACGAGCATAGGTTTAGAAGCCAGAATGGGGTTCAAACCTTGTGCAGTTTTAGTCATATGCCTCTGACCGTCCGGGCTGTGTTCTAACACAGTGCTTGCTACAGAAGAGGACTGACTAATGTTACTTTCCCTTGTTAGCCAGCTGCCTCCCTGAATCACTGCCCACCCAGGCCCAGAGCTGTTGCTCTGATTCCTCATATCCTAAGAGCAACTCTAGAAAAGGCCGTCCTTCCTAAAATGTGTGCCTCGTACCCACACTTGAAACTGTTCAAGTAGTGGATTTTTATCTGAATTTGGTATATTTGATCCTGGTCCTAATGATGGTAACTACTTTCCCGCTGGAGGAAGTCACTATTAATCCAATCCAATACTTTGACCACTGAACCCCCTCCAGACACTCTTTAACCATAATTCTCACTGGATGTGGTCAGTTTGAACATTTTATTCCTCCTCAGAATGCATTTTGATCTATGAGGAAAACTGTCTTTCTAGAAATACACCAGGTGAAATAGCATGTCTTTGAAGCCCTCTCCCTCTGCTCTTCCTGTCTCCTAGTCAGATACGGAGTTTTGGGATAAGATGCAAGCCGAATGGGAAGAAATGGCCCGGAGGAACTGGATATCGGAGAACCAGGAAGCCCAGAACCAAGTTACAGTCTCAGCTAGTGAGAAGGTGACCAATTCTGTTCTTATATATACTGACCAGTTTTCTCAACCTCCTTGGATCACATTCTTGTAAGTTAGTCAATAACTATTCTATGAAAAATCTGAGAATTGAATAGACAATTTAATGTCAGTGTGACTGAGAAGAAATTCTGGTAGATGAAAACAATATAATCATCCAAAGTGTGAAGGAACAGAGCTGGAGTGGAATGCCCTTATTTTTATCGGAGTTAAGACAGTTCGGCAGCCAACAGGAGCTTGGATCCTGACTGCCAGCCGGTTACTGAACTGATGCGGAGGGCAGGTTGGAGCAAGAACTGGCTAATCCCACCTTTTGGACAATCCACCAAAAGATTGACAATGCTTTTTGTCAATCACGTGAGCCATACTGATGAACTAAGAGAAGTTATGTAAATGGACAGGGGAGCGAAGTGGGGCTTAGGGCTGCATTTCACAGGTGGGTGTTACACAGCTGGCAATGAAACTCAGTGGAAAAGGTACCCTTCTCACAACCAGATGAAGTCCCAGGGGGATTCCTCAGAGCTCTTCCCCTGACAGGAGCTCCAGCAAATGTGTGAGTGCAGGGAGCAACCAGCCCAATTACCCATGAAGTCCCAGTCGCCCTAGGATTTATGCTTTTAAAAACTCTTGGGAGGGAGAAGGGGGGAACACTTCTGAGAAATAAATTTAAATGGCTTGAAGGCTAGAAAGAGATGTGGAATTTTCTTACACAGGGAGAAAAAATACATATGTGTGTGTATGTATAAATGTATATAAATATGTGCATATATATGCACACACATATATATATATGGATTTTTTGTGGTAGAGGAAGTCTCAAAAATATTTGCTTCTGGATAACTTCCATGATATTTAGTTTAATCCAACAAATATTTATTGAGTGTTTACCCTGCATTAGATACTGGAGAAAGGATGATGAATAGTCTCTGATCTTAAGAAATTTGTAATCTGCAGAGTCAAATATGTCTTCCTCCCAATATTCTCTGTCCCTCAGTAAGCCAGTCAATCTTATAAAACCAGAACCATCTCATTAAAAATAACTGTCTTTTCCACAAAGAAATCAAATCTAGGTAAGAAGAGAGAACATTGATGTGGATTGTCAGACTTCAGGCTATAATCCCCCATGGCTGGGGCCCTGAGTTCCCCACACCCGGGACCCCATATCCATAACACCACTGTGTAAGCTGGTCATGCCTATAATGGCTTTGATGAGGGGGTCTGTCTATCTCAGCACCAATGGAGAATGAAGGTCTCCATTTGATCTCTTTTAAAACCTTAGTGACATCATAAACAGACTAGTTTATTTCTATCAAATTAAAATGGTATTATGATAATACGCTCTTAAGATTGCAACAAATAATTTCTCTCAGATATTTCTGATGAGAGTTTAACTTGAGACAAACTTTCTCAAAAATAATTCATCAATACATATCAAGGGCCTTGAAATAGTTCATAGGCTTTAGTCTAAAATCCCTCTAGAAGTCTTTCCTAAAGTAATAATCATATGCAGACTAAGATTTGAGCAGACTTTCACTGTAGCTTTATTTATGATAAAAAAAAATTGAAAGTAACCTGAATGTGTATCAACAGGGGATTGATTAAGTAAATTTTAACATAATATAAATAATTTTAATAACTAAAACAAAGTGGGGCTTAAGCTATAAAAATGGATACATACAGTTTATTTAATCTGTATACTCAGAAAAATACTAGATATTTGTATGTTCTATATTATTTAAATTTTTGCAATAAAAGAACATCTCTAACTTTAACATACTCATTCTCAGTGGGGCTAAAACTGTTTCAAGATATAAAAAGGTGAAAAAAATCTTAGTTATTATAATAGTTTGTAGCCCTTCAAAGGGTCACAGTATATAAGCAGATATACAGTGAGTAGTATTAATATTTTAGGAAAAAGAATAGCAACACAACTGAGAAGTCTGTATTTTTAAAATTTTGGGGGGAAGTGATTAAAAAAAAAATAGAAGAAGTGCCAAAAGGAAAATAAACTCCAAAATATTAGCATTGGTCATATTTAAGTTGTGGCATTATGGTGAACTTTTTGTTTCTTTTTACATTCAATGAAAAAATTAAATTATCTCAAATTATGAAATGAAAGTGTACTATATTCATAAGGAAAAGCACTAATTTACATTTAAATTAATTAGGTAATTAAAATACATTAATTAACTAAATTAAAATTCAAAGAGTACCTACTGAATGTAAGAATGAAGAGAGAATTCAATGGATCTTATGTTGGCCCTTCTCTGCTTTGTAGGGATATTACTTTCACACCGAAAACCCATTTAAGGACTGGCCTGGAGCATTTGAAGAAGGCTTAAAAAGGCTGAAGGAAGGGGACCTGCCAGTCACCATCCTGTTCATGGAGGCAGCAATTCTGCAGGACCCTGGAGACGCAGAGGTGTCATTTCCTCTTCATCCTGCCAGGCTCAGACAGAGCTGCATATGCTGATGAGGGACAGAGGGCAATCCAGAGCTCTGTTGGGTTGCCCTTTCATCAAGTAAAGGTTCCCAAAGGAGTTGACCTGGCTTAGTCTGTTATGTGTTTGAAAGTCACAAATAATGAAATCTGCAGTGTCTATAGTGCAAGATGGGGACAGGAAATGAAAAATTTAAATTGTCAACCTGGAGGCTCAGCAGTAGTGTTCAGGGGGCACCATATAGTTTTGTCTAGGTCTAGAGCCACACCACATCTGACCCTTCCTTGATTTACTTACTCAGCGTTTATTGAGCATGTACCATGTCCCAAGAATTATGCTAGGAACTGGCTTAAAAATATTGATGAGCTGGAAAAAATGAAACAGTTGAAAAGACACATTGTGGTCTAGCTAGAGAGATGGGTAAATAAGTCAATGCCGTGTAATAAACACAGTCAGGGTACGCATAGGGTGCTGGGAGAGCAGAGAGCAAGACTCCCGGCCCAGCCTTCCCCTACAAGTGAATCCAAAGCTGAGTTTTGAAAGAGAGTATTAATTAAAGACAGCAGGAGAGCCAAGTGGTGAAAAGGGAGTGATTCCTGGTGGGCAGAGGGACATGGAACATTATGTCAGCAGGTGGAGGTGAGGAGAGAATGGCAGGAGAAAAGGCAAGAAGAGGCAAGAAGAGGTAGGCAAGAGTTTGAACTTCTTGAAAGCCCTAGGGAACCGCTTAGGGAACCTGCTGAGCAGAAGGATACAGTCAGATTTGCAGGTCAAAAAACCCCTTTCTCTGAGGTGTGAGGAGTCGTTAGAGACAGCAGCTGGGAGACCACCAAAGGGGCTTCTGCCATTCTTGTTTAGTCCACTAAGGTTACAAGTCTACGAAGACCTGTGATTCTTATTAGTGGCAGGTACAAAGTTTTATTTTTTTTAGTTTGTGAGTAATTTTCAGAAATTGTAAGAGATCTTCCCAGAGAAATTTGCAAAAATTTTACAGATGGGTATCTATGGTGCTGAGAATTAAAATATTGGGGAGAAATGAGTAAGTAGAATGGTGGGTAAGCTTTTAGGATCTGCTACCCTGTGTGGATTCAAATCCCTGCTCTACCACTCATAAGCCATAAGCTTGTGATCTAGGACAAGTCATTTAAATTCTCTAAACTTCCACTCCTTATATATGTAAAATGGGAATCATGATTACAATAGCTGTCTCATTGAGTGTTGTTTGGATTAAATAAGTTCATACAAATAAAATGCTCAGTTCAGTGCCTGGTACATCAATACTTAGCCATCATTATTATTATTGGTTGTGGTTAGTTTGTATAGAAAGAATAAGTAAGCTGATCTCTAGTTAAAACCCCTGGTGTTTTGTTAGTCAAAATGTTGACAGTAAAATGAGATTGTACTGAAAGTTGGAGCTCTGAACCTAAATACTGGAATCTTTAAAAAGATAAAAATATCATTGTGTGAGAGAAGGTCGTTGAATTAATAGGGAACTATAGGCCACTCACCCCAAAATAATAATGTCATCTCACATTTCTAAATGCTGTGTTTTACAGGATATTTTCATGTATATTATATCATTTGATTCAACAACCCTGAAAGGGTAAAAAAAAAGTATAATTATCCCAGATTTATAAATGAGAAGATTAGGGCACTTGGTAACTAATAAATTTCAAGCAAGGACTTCTGAATCTGTGGAGACCCCAAAACTACGATAATGGATGATCTGGAGATACTGAAAAATGACACCATGCCGGAAGGCTAGCAAGAAGCCCCCAGAGAAAGACTGTTTCATCAGTCTTGTCTTAAGAAGCACTCTAAGATATATGAAAGGTGAAATCAAAATAGGGTCTGCTCTGTGTACATCTGAAAGATTTAAAAGAATCACAAATATTCTAGGGAGAATAATCAGCATTTTTTATGAATTTATATGGTATGCTAATAATAAGCCATGAGGGGAAAAGCCAATATAATTTTTACAGCTCTTTGAGAAGACTCTCTGTTTTTGTACAGTTTTGCTTTAAAACGTCTATAGCATTGATTCTCAAAGGGGGGAAGTTAAGCACTTCCCAAACCTTTTAAAATGTCTAAGACTCTGATACACCCTCCCTCTCCCAGCAGATTTGAGGACAATGCATATAATGAGAAGTTTTGTTCATGTGTATTGCTCTTGTAAGTAGAAATTTATTATATTAAAAACTCTCATTCTAGATAAGAAAAAAAAAGGTTAATCTTCTTGAAGCTCTGCTTCATATTATTGGCCACAGCAAAGGACTGGAAACCACCTCAGAGCAATAAGGGAATTGGTTAAGTAAACAATGGGCTCTCCACTCAACAAAATTTTAATTAAAAATTATAAGGATGAGGATTTTCTAAAAACATGAAAAAGTACTTATGATGCAATATAAAGTGTAAGTATAGGCTATAATATTATATATAAATTACATTGCATTTTATATGGGTTTTATGAATTTTAACAGTGATTATATTCGAGTGACAAACACATCATAGGGGTTTGGTTTTCTTTGGTTTTCCCTAGTTCCCAAATTTCCTCTGACCTTTCTGGAAACAATTTGACTATCATTTATACAATCTAGTTTCACTTTGTACATGTTGCAATTCCTTATTGTAAACTTTAAACTCTTTAGCTACATTTCCGAGTTATTTCCCCATCCCTTTTCCTCACAAATGTGCAAGTTTATATCTTTATCTTTTGGTCTTAAAACACCTAATATCATGAAAGCTCAGAAACTCAAAGGTTTCCATGGGTCACAAGAGCGAATAAAACTGAGGGTTGGTAAATAATAACAGAAGATGTTGACCCAATGTCACAAGAGTCTTCCCTTTAAGACTCTCACATCTGTGACAGTGGCTTCATATAGAAGCCTCTGTCACAGGTACACAAACCAACATAAGCACAGGGGTAATTCGGCTCCCTCTTGAAATGTTTACAACAGCTGTTTTTTTTGTAGGCTTGGCAGTTCCTCGGGATAACCCAGGCAGAGAATGAAAATGAGCAAGCAGCTATTGTCGCCCTCCAGAGGTAGGTGCAGCTAAGTGCAAAACCGAGGAACTGGGGGACACTTGGCAAACTTCCTGTCATTTCAGATTTGTCTTTTGACCCGTTGATATATTATGAAGAATTTGGCCAGAATAAATGCTAAAATGTACCTACACTTAGCTCTGGAAAACAAGAACTTATGAAGAAATAATGTTCTTAAACTGTAATATTGTGCCATCTACAAATCAGCTGACCTTCATTCACACAACAGTCTGCATAAAATAAAAGAGTAGTCATAAAATAGACCCACTGAATAAATAGTTCCTTTTAACTTTCTTGCCTCTGTAGCATCTAAAAGTTTTCTCAGGAAACACATATTCAAAGTTACCTCAATGTAATTGTAACTCCATGTGTCTATGGAGAATGTCCTGAGATATTTCAGCAATTTGAAAGTAAAACTCAGCCCCTGACTAAAGGTCCAGACCCCTTGGACGGGGGTAACTTCACACATTACTTCTGGAAAAATAACCCCTACCAAGTAGACATCTATTTTCCTTACCCTTTCTCATAAATATATATATACATATATATCAAATCTCTTCCTGAAGCACTGATATAGGTACTCTCTGGGGCTTGCTACTCAGTCTTATCCAGGGACGACCAGCATCACTCACCTGGGAGTTTGTCAGACCTGCACAGCCTAGAGCCCACCCCAGCCCTGCTGTATCAGAGAATCTGCATTTTCCCAGATCCCCAGATGATTCTCAGGCACATCAGAGTGTGAAAAACCCTCGTTAGAAGCCAATGAGACAGCCCGAGAGGGGAGCAACTGAAGCCTGTGTCTCCTGTAAATCCACATTAGTAGGCTGGAAACACAGGGAGTTCACTCTCCTTCCTAAACCACTGTCCAATTGTTCATCTCTGGATGTCCACATTTAGTTCATGTTGGTTCACTTTGTGGATAAGGTACGTTTCCTATATTAATAGTAGAGCATCACTAAAATAATGATATCCCCTACTTCTTGTTAATTAACTACTAATAATTTATGTCCAGGGGTTAGCGACCTTTTCTACAGTTTTAAAACCATGTCTTAAAATTCTCAAAGCATTCATTAGGATGAGTTATAACATTCTTAAAAAGATAATTTGGTCCCAGTTTCCTGTGGGAAAAGACATGTGGTCTTTTCCAGGGACTTAGCATGAACAAACGTTACCTGTGCTTTTGCTGCATTTCGTTACTCAAAGGCTACTCAAATGACCTCAAATGTTCTAAAGCGCTATTAGACTCTGGCTTCAAAAAAATCTGCCGTTGGTGCTTTTTCTTACCTTCTTTCAGGTGCTTAGAATTACAGCCCAACAACTTGAAAGCTTTGATGGCTTTGGCTGTGAGTTACACTAACACCGGCCATCAGCAGGATGCCTGTGAAGCTCTAAAGAATTGGATTAAGCAAAATCCGAAGTACAAATATCTTGTGAAGAGCAAGAAGGGATCTCCAGGCCTCACCCGGCGGATGTCTAAGTCTCCAGTTGATAGGTATCCTTCTCATTAAAGTACAGCAGACAGTAAACACCATATACACGACTAATCACTGAGCCCCAGGTCCCCTCCACCACCCATTCCAGAATGGTTTGTAGGACAGCGTTTGCTAGGGAAGCAGCACTGATCAAAAAGACTGATGCTGAGACCAGAACCGACCTTCAGGCACAATCCATCGTGTGCACTCACTGACATTTATCTGAGTGTCTTTTTTTAAAGCCAAATGCTTTGGACATATAATTAACCTAAAATAAATCATAATAAGTACCAACATACCAAGTCTCATAAAGCTTGAGAATTAGGAGTGAGGGAAAATGGAAGTCCTTTCTTCTGGGCATTTTGTTTCAGTCAGCAAGAAATCATGACGTTCAATTCTTTCCTTTCTCTCTCACCCTGTGGTTTTGCACATTGGTACTCACTGGGACTCTGCTTGTGAAGACCTGACTTACACAGTCTGTAACTGTACATAACAAAATATTTCATGAAAGTCAGCAGGTATTTTTTAACATGCAGTATTAATAATCCTCTCATTAAGCTAAAATATTTTAAGGGAGATTTTTCCCTTCTGTAATGTTCTCTTGGAACAGAGAACATAATAGTAAATAATTTGTGCTCAGTCTATTTGGATTACATATTTCATTTTTTTTCTCTTATAGCTCTGTTCTGGAAGGAGTGAAGGAATTATATCTGGAAGCTGCCCACCAAAATGGAGATATGATCGACCCAGACCTACAGACAGGTCTGGGAGTTCTGTTCCACCTCAGCGGAGAATTTAATAGAGCAATAGATGCATTTAACGCTGCCTTAACTGTTCGGCCAGAGGTAGGTGCACAGCAAGAAACCATAAAGTTCTGTTAAAAATAAGTTTCCAAAGGCTTTGTACATTTCTGCTCCACTTTGTCCCTGCAACTCATGGTTTAAAGTGATGAGTACTAATAATATGCTGCTGTGGCTGCTAATACTGACATACTTAAAATAGAAACATGAGCTGGCTGACAGCATCAAAGTCATCCATAAAGGGTTTTTAGTAATTCACCACTGTCGTGGTCCCTGTCCATAAGCACTGGATAAACTTTTAGCCGTCATCCTTCTGCGGGGAACATGAGAATACCTGTCACTGTGGCGTGTCCCGGTTGTTAGCTCTCTTTCTGTCATCAGGACTATTCGTTATGGAACCGTCTCGGGGCGACCTTGGCCAACGGAGACCGCAGCGAGGAGGCTGTGGAGGCCTACACACGAGCACTGGAGATTCAGCCGGGCTTCATCCGATCCAGATACAACCTGGGAATAAGCTGTATCAACCTGGGCGCCTACAGGTGAAGTATGGCCGCAGGCTGAGAACCCGGGCCACGCTCAGGGCTGAGGCTGAATAACCTGAAAGGTGGTTTCCCAGTAAAGAATTCCTCCTTTTGCAGTAGTAACCCACCTCATCTCATTAAGGGTAAATTTAAGGTCCCGAGGCATAAAGCAGGAACAGTTTGTCTCAGTGTTTTTCCCAGCCTTTAGAGAGCAGCAATCACGTGGGCATGGTGTGAAATATACGTTCCCAGGCCCATCCCCCGAGATTGTGATTCACTTGGCCTGTGTTAGGCCACGTTTTTAACACCCCCAAGGGTAACCCTTGGGAAACATGACCAGTCCAACCCTTCATTTCCCAGGTAAGGAAAAAAGAACCTTGGAGGGTGGAGGCAGGGAGGCCCAGCAAAATGACTGAAGGTCTCAGGGCCAGTTTTTCGCAAAACACAACCCAAAATTCAGATTTTTCTAAATTTTCTGATTTACCAATACAGTTAGTTAAAAATTTTAGAAAGGAAACATTTTTAAATGATAGGCTTAGAGTTTGCAATGTGTTTTGTTCTCTTATACTCCTCATCATTCAGGCCTGTATCCTCCCTATCTTTTCTATCTCATCAACAGGGACCATAAATGACTTTTAGTTCTTTTGGGTAATGAAAGTATAGGTGTTTTGTTTCTTCTTTCTTTTTCTACTTTTCCTATTTTCATCATCATAAAAAAAAAAAGAACTTAGTTTTAAAATCCAGAAAAAATGCAAACCCTTTCTCAGTCTGAGGAAGAGGCAGGCTCTTAGAAACAGACGAGCTAGATTCAGATCACAGCTCTGCCATTTACTGGTCTGGTGACTCTGGGCACGTAACTTTAAGCCTCAATTTCTCCCCTTGCTTAAAAAAAAAGAGGTAGTAATACCGATGGAGCAGGATGCCTGCGTGGGTTAAACCCACCGCCCAGCCCAGAGCAGGGCTCAATCGCTAGGAGACGTTTGCTGTCATGGCTGTCACCGCAGCAGCCTCGCCGTTGCCGCTTGTTCCTGTAAGTCATCCGAGAGCAGCATAACACGATTGCATTTTTTTGACATCTGAAGAATAGCTGTTTCTGAACTGCATTTGGGCCTTGGGCCTTCGTTACTCTTTGCGTTCCCCAGGGACCACTGACACACACTTGGGAGTTAGGAGCAGTCTGTGCACGAGGAGATTCCGAGATCTTCCTTCACCCAGAGTTCCTACAGGCCTAGGATGATGAGAGGAAGGGGAGCCGTTGTCATTCAAGCTGCCACCCTGTGACGAGGACGCCGGGAAGGGTTCCCAGTTAACTGCCCCCTTCCATGTACATCTGCTTGTAAATCTTCCTCTCTTGCTTGATTTCAAGAAATGCAGGAGACGATGATTAGAAAACCCATTCCATTACCCAGTCTACCTACAGTGCAACCATTTCCCAAATGCCCTTTATTTCCAGGCAGATCTAAGAATACAGATGAGCAGATGCCTGGATCACGTGCACTAGAATCAGAAATCCAGCTTCACTTTAAGGTTTCTTATCAGACACTTAATAATGAACATTTTGCAAGATTAAATGAGATCAAGTGTGTGAAACTCTTAAGAAAAGTAAGATAAAATTAAAGCAGAGTCATTATTCTTAGCGAAGACCAGTTCGTCAGATACATAATACCTGCTTCAGGTGATGGGGGTTGCTGAGGAGGGCAGACCCGTGTGCACACGAGCAGATCACACAGACTGGGGCTAGAGCAGCTCGAAGACCTTTGGATGGCATCTGACTCAGTAGTGCACAAACATTTTGTTCTCAGGACCCCTTTACACTTTTAACAATTATTGAGAACCTCAGAAGACTTTTATGTGGTTTATGTCTGTAGATATTTATCATATTAGAAATTAAACTGAGAAAACTTTAAGAGATTTATTTTAACAATAAACTAATTACATGTTAAATTATGTATTTAACAAAAAATAATTATTCTTCAAAACAAAAAGTGTTTAGTGGGAAGAGTGGCCTTTTATCATTTTTTGCAAATTTCTTTAATATCTTGTTTAACAGAAGACAGGTTCTCCTATCTGCTTCTGCATTCAGTCTATTGGAACATCACACATTATGTAGTCACTGAAAAATCCCATTGCACACTCATGAGAAAATGACAGTGAAAAGGTAAAGTAACATCTCAGTATTATTATAAGAATAATTTTGATCTCACGGATCCCTAGAGTTCCTAAAACCACACTGCAGCAGTATTGCTCTAACTTAATGATAAGAGCTTTCACTAAAATTCATTGAACTGTGTCTCACAACAAGGTTTTAAAATGACTTCTATTCTCCGTTAAAAAGTTGGGGAAACTGAGGCTTAGAGAAGATAAGAAATTTGCCTAAGTCTAGATACCTGGGATTCAAGCCCAGATGTTCTGATAACAAACTCAACCCTGGCTTCCTCCCCTATTTCTATCATTAATAGGAAAAATTTAGCCATTTTGTTTCTGAGCAGGACCAAATATTCCCCTTCAACCCTACTTACATAAATCACACCTGCAAATGGATTAAGCCTCCAGTCATTTCCTGAAGTAGGGGAAAATTCAAAGCATTAATGAGATAGCAATGGTTTTGCTATTACTCTTCCTATCCCACATAACATTCCTAAACTAAAATTAACTTTCCTTTTTTCTTTCTGATTTCACTATACTTAATAATGATTTTTCACAAAAGAATAATGAGAGAATCAGGAAGTTGTTCATCTCGAGATCCAAAACACCAGAGAGATGCTTAAGGATTTTAGACTATGACAACTTAATCTTCCGTTGTATTTTCAAGTTTAACTCTGAAATTTGTTGCATTTTTAAATGTCTGTTTTTCTACCCTTTTAGAGAGGCAGTTAGCAATTTTCTCACTGCCCTCAGTCTGCAAAGAAAGAGCAGGAATCAACAGCAAGTTCCTCATCCCGCAATCTCTGGGAATATCTGGGCTGCCCTCAGAATCGCACTTTCCCTGATGGACCAGCCGGAACTCTTCCAGGCGGCTAATCTCGGGGACCTAGATGTCCTCCTGCGAGCTTTCAACCTGGAACCTTGAAGGAAAGGAAAAATAATAATAATAATCCCTCATACGTGTTATAGTACTGAGAAATGCAACACTATTTTATTATGAATTCCAAAAAGGATAAACCAGATGTCCAAAGGCCATGGTGATATAGCCCACGGGAATTCCTCCTGACAACGCCCAGTCTCTGTTCAGATTCAAAAGCACAAAATGTTGTATATACAGTCAAAGTCAGGTTTGAAAGAAGAATTGGGAGATACAAGACCAACCATGATAAAGTAACTGTGTGAAGACTCTTCACAGTCTACAAGCATATTGCAAAACAGGTTCTTTGGGGGTTTTGTCTCCACTTGCAGATGATGACACATCTAAGAAACTTGCTCACGGGACACCTGGAGAAAGCACTGCCTCAGATCACAGAATTCTGAGTGTTTCTCAACTGTCCCTTGAAATTCCCCCTTTGACAAGATTGAACATAGTTTGGGCCAAGGTGCATGCACATACATTAACTCTTGACTAAAGAGAGGCATTGCTTTAACTGTTCCAATTTTAACTTTTACTGTAGCCCCTTGATTCCAGAGAAGGAGCTTTGCTGGCAAAAGCAGTTTTTGCACTAGAAATTTTTGCTGTTCCCAATCAGAACTTTTCTGGGACTGTATATATGCACTTTAATATCTTGTTTATGCCTTGCTGGAGTTTTGTTTTGTTGCTCCAATTTTTAACTTGGGGGTGGAAGAGTTAAGAACTCAGCCTTGTTAGATCAATGGACCAAATAAAAATTCCTGAAAATCGTTTTCATAGTGTAGGGTTTTGAAGGAGTGTTTTTCTCAAAACAGATATGACATAGAGTATAACGATGTCAAACTGAAACCTTACTCACGTGCTTTCTGGGACTATATGAACTTAAGCAAGAGATAGGATCCTGTCTCTTCATGCATTCTCTGTAGGGAGAGAATTTGATGATGTGGTTTCTATTTACTTGCTTAAATGTCATATCTCACTTGCTTTCTAACTACCCTGCACACCAATATTCCCTTTAAAATGTTAATATTTTAAATAGTATTTCTTAAAAGTGATACATTTTTCCTAAATATTATGTGTTTTCTTAGTTCCATAATCTGCACCACTCACTCTTTTGCATTCTAAGGACAGAAGATCAGTATTTTCTAGCTGAATCTCACTGAATATCCATGGTTTAATAGGAAAGATGCATGCCCTTTTGACTCTCATTTTGAACTTTTATCAAGTATCAAGGACTTCGTGTTGGCAGTGATGCTTTAATTGGTTACATTCCACCCAGTTCTTCAGAGTGTTTTGTGCCTGTTGGTTATTTGGAAAGACATCATTTTTTTAAGGAATTAGAAAAATTGCAAAATGTTAACCAAAATATAATTTCACTAATGTCCAATCTAGTAATTTGACCTAGTAAGTTGTCCTGTTCTTCTTCATCTTGTCCCCATCTTTCCTCAAGAATCTTCCCCCAAGCAATACGATCCCAACTTTTTCTTTAGGTTCTTTGGTTAATAATAGCTGGTTATATGCATGATTATAATTACCAAGCAAAAGAGCATTTGGGTCAAGATAGTTTAATTGACTGAGGAGTTAGCTTCCATGTGGGGTGCAGTGTGTGCACATGCTGAGAAAGCAAACTCTAGGTGCAGGCAGAACTCTTCTCCTGTTACCTTGGAAATCCCTGGGAAGAGGCCACAGGGAAATGTGAAACCACAAGTCCTTGAGGTTTACATATATTATAAGCTACTCTAGTTATAAACAAATTGTTGAGGGTGTTGTGGTGGTTGGTGCCAGGCTTTTTCCTTCATTGTCAAAGCTCACCTGGGCAAGGTGCTGCCTCCAGGTGGACAGCAGGAGGCAGAGGCATTAAGGCATTTACTGTTGGGCAGTAGCGACAGCTCAGTCTTTAGCCTACTTCCCTGCAGTTTCAGAAGCTCAACAACATTTTCAAAAATGGTATTCTTTGGAATGTTAGAATCCTAGAAACTCAGTCCAGGAAGGAATCTTGAGGAGCCTCCAATTCATCACAATTCCTGCTTAAATATCCCTGATAGAGTAGGTTCCACTGTCTCTGCTCCCCTTCCCAACCCCTGTGCATTCCCGGGCTGGCCAGGTGACTTGCATCTATCATAGTCCATTAGGAGCCTCTGAACAAAGGATTCAAAGCAAACTTTTTCAGAGGTTTTGCTCATGGTGCCATTCTATTCTTTCAATAGTAACTGAATTAACAATTATGACAAGCTGCTTTCTTAGCTTTACTGGCATTACATACATGAGACCAGCAACAATTTAAAGCCTGACAATAAGAGTTATTTTTTATTATATTTTAATTAAATGTGGGATACTTTAATATAATTTGGTTGTTGCTAAGTAGTGGCATATTTGGGGGTCCAAGTTTTGTTTCACTATTGGAATACAATGTAACTTCAAACTCCAACGACTTGTGTTAGGGGAAAGTAGACAATTTTCCGTTTCCCCTTATAATTTGGTAATTTGCAGACCATGTAGTGGGACTTTCTCCCATATGTCTGCTGTCCACCAGAACCAAGATTTTCATAAGCTGTAGCCTGTCAGGAAATGGAGAATTATTGCCCAAGACATTCTTCAATATTTTTAAATAAAATTAAGTAGAAAGTTACTAAAAAGCAAGGAAAAGTTTATAGAAATAAGAGTACCACCAAAAACTAAGTAGCAAGATTTTACTATAGTCTTTATTGTATATGTCTTTTTTTAAAAGTATATGCATGCACACTTTTTAAAGGCAGAGCAACATTTGGGCATCTTATTCTCATCTTGTAAAATTACTCTTTCCATTTGAAAGGGTAGGGTGTCCTTGATTCCCTTTGGGGGCACTCTGGGAAGGCTTTGAGTTGCTTGTTTCTTGTGTTACTGAGTAGTAACCTAATATCTCTTAGAGGATGGTACAATTTTACCAGAATGGCCATTCAGGTGCCTAGATGTGACTTTTAAGGACCGATCTCACCAGTAGGTGAGATGAAAATGCAGAGGCCAGTGATTACTGATGAATTTTCAAAATTTATAACTATGTGTCATAGGCTGTTTCTGTGTGCTCCTGTACCTTCACAGTGAGGAGGAGGGGAGGCACGGGGAAGAGGAAAACAGACAAAGCATCCACTTGCTGGGCCATCATACTGAGTCATCATTCCCCTTGCTTTTTCCCAAGATGACTCCTTAAAAGAAGGGCAGATCTTGTCAACAAGGGAACTTCAACAGAAAACTGAGCTGTACTTTCTCAGCCAATCTGTATTTCAACTAGAATGGCAAATTAGTGATACTTAACTGGGTTAGAATGTCTAGGACACACTTGCAGAATTTTATGCCACGTTCCTTACTATTTTCTTTAAAGAGAGCTATTATGTCGACTCTTAGACCCATGTCTAGATAGTCATACTAGATAAATCTTTCTAGTATATTCTTGCTATACAAGCAAGACTTGAACACAACTGTAGCTAATCCCATTTATGACAGGAGTTGCCAAACTCTATACCTGAACTTTATCTGTGAGCTCCTTGGGAATAGAAAGCAAGATGATCATTTTGTGTCGCCTCCTCATTTGCCCTTGCATCGGTTCCATAAGAGTGCACTGTACTTTACATTAGTTGTCCCTGCTATTGTTTTTATACCTTGAAATTCCTCTAAAAGCATTGTAGGAACAGGGTACTCTGAAGGCTTAATTTGTGTGCCATTTCTTTGAGGTTTCCCATTTTAGAAATTATTACAGATGCACACACATAATTTCAACTTTGTAAAATAATTTCAAATATATTCCCTCTCCAGATTTTACTGAAGTGTCCCTAGCATCTCAGTATTTATAGAACTGATTGAACTTAAACTGTTTTGAACTAAGAAGTAGAGAGATATATATATTTTTTTAAAGAGTGTTCATAGATGAACTCTGGCATAAGGTTTGTAAAAAGGCAGTTTTTAAAAGTAAAACATATAACCTCAGGTACGAAAATAACGCATGCATTATTAGTACTTGCAAAGCTGCCTACTCAAACATTAACCAAAGCATGCAAGATAACATTACTGAATGTAAATTTACCCAGTGCATGGTTAAGTCTCATAGGTTAGCTTGAGGAGTTAGCTTCCATGTGGGGTGCAGTGTGTGCACATGCTGAGAAAGCAAACTCTAGGTGCAGGCAGAACTCTTCTCCTGTTACCTTGGAAATCCCTGGGAAGAGGCCACAGGGAAATGTGAAACCACAAGTCCTTGAGGTTTACATATATTATAAGCTACTCTAGTTATAAACAAATTGTTGAGGGTGTTGTGGTGGTTGGTGCCAGGCTTTTTCCTTCATTGTCAAAGCTCACCTGGGCAAGGTGCTGCCTCCAGGTGGACAGCAGGAGGCAGAGGCATTAAGGCATTTACTGTTGGGCAGTAGCGACAGCTCAGTCTTTAGCCTACTTCCCTGCAGTTTCAGAAGCTCAACAACATTTTCAAAAATGGTATTCTTTGGAATGTTAGAATCCTAGAAACTCAGTCCAGGAAGGAATCTTGAGGAGCCTCCAATTCATCACAATTCCTGCTTAAATATCCCTGATAGAGTAGGTTCCACTGTCTCTGCTCCCCTTCCCAACCCCTGTGCATTCCCGGGCTGGCCAGGTGACTTGCATCTATCATAGTCCATTAGGAGCCTCTGAACAAAGGATTCAAAGCAAACTTTTTCAGAGGTTTTGCTCATGGTGCCATTCTATTCTTTCAATAGTAACTGAATTAACAATTATGACAAGCTGCTTTCTTAGCTTTACTGGCATTACATACATGAGACCAGCAACAATTTAAAGCCTGACAATAAGAGTTATTTTTTATTATATTTTAATTAAATGTGGGATACTTTAATATAATTTGGTTGTTGCTAAGTAGTGGCATATTTGGGGGTCCAAGTTTTGTTTCACTATTGGAATACAATGTAACTTCAAACTCCAACGACTTGTGTTAGGGGAAAGTAGACAATTTTCCGTTTCCCCTTATAATTTGGTAATTTGCAGACCATGTAGTGGGACTTTCTCCCATATGTCTGCTGTCCACCAGAACCAAGATTTTCATAAGCTGTAGCCTGTCAGGAAATGGAGAATTATTGCCCAAGACATTCTTCAATATTTTTAAATAAAATTAAGTAGAAAGTTACTAAAAAGCAAGGAAAAGTTTATAGAAATAAGAGTACCACCAAAAACTAAGTAGCAAGATTTTACTATAGTCTTTATTGTATATGTCTTTTTTTAAAAGTATATGCATGCACACTTTTTAAAGGCAGAGCAACATTTGGGCATCTTATTCTCATCTTGTAAAATTACTCTTTCCATTTGAAAGGGTAGGGTGTCCTTGATTCCCTTTGGGGGCACTCTGGGAAGGCTTTGAGTTGCTTGTTTCTTGTGTTACTGAGTAGTAACCTAATATCTCTTAGAGGATGGTACAATTTTACCAGAATGGCCATTCAGGTGCCTAGATGTGACTTTTAAGGACCGATCTCACCAGTAGGTGAGATGAAAATGCAGAGGCCAGTGATTACTGATGAATTTTCAAAATTTATAACTATGTGTCATAGGCTGTTTCTGTGTGCTCCTGTACCTTCACAGTGAGGAGGAGGGGAGGCACGGGGAAGAGGAAAACAGACAAAGCATCCACTTGCTGGGCCATCATACTGAGTCATCATTCCCCTTGCTTTTTCCCAAGATGACTCCTTAAAAGAAGGGCAGATCTTGTCAACAAGGGAACTTCAACAGAAAACTGAGCTGTACTTTCTCAGCCAATCTGTATTTCAACTAGAATGGCAAATTAGTGATACTTAACTGGGTTAGAATGTCTAGGACACACTTGCAGAATTTTATGCCACGTTCCTTACTATTTTCTTTAAAGAGAGCTATTATGTCGACTCTTAGACCCATGTCTAGATAGTCATACTAGATAAATCTTTCTAGTATATTCTTGCTATACAAGCAAGACTTGAACACAACTGTAGCTAATCCCATTTATGACAGGAGTTGCCAAACTCTATACCTGAACTTTATCTGTGAGCTCCTTGGGAATAGAAAGCAAGATGATCATTTTGTGTCGCCTCCTCATTTGCCCTTGCATCGGTTCCATAAGAGTGCACTGTACTTTACATTAGTTGTCCCTGCTATTGTTTTTATACCTTGAAATTCCTCTAAAAGCATTGTAGGAACAGGGTACTCTGAAGGCTTAATTTGTGTGCCATTTCTTTGAGGTTTCCCATTTTAGAAATTATTACAGATGCACACACATAATTTCAACTTTGTAAAATAATTTCAAATATATTCCCTCTCCAGATTTTACTGAAGTGTCCCTAGCATCTCAGTATTTATAGAACTGATTGAACTTAAACTGTTTTGAACTAAGAAGTAGAGAGATATATATATTTTTTTAAAGAGTGTTCATAGATGAACTCTGGCATAAGGTTTGTAAAAAGGCAGTTTTTAAAAGTAAAACATATAACCTCAGGTACGAAAATAACGCATGCATTATTAGTACTTGCAAAGCTGCCTACTCAAACATTAACCAAAGCATGCAAGATAACATTACTGAATGTAAATTTACCCAGTGCATGGTTAAGTCTCATAGGTTAGCTTGTTTTTCCTTGCTTCTGAACAAGGAAGCATTTTCATGAACTTTATGTTACAGTTTTTCTGTTTGTTTTTGATATCCTATCCTTGAGATTATTTTCATGCTATCCCAATAAACTTTTCAGATATTCACAGGTCTGGTTTATGCAGTGTTGCAGCCAGGGCCAAACTAGTACTCTGAGGAATCCAGGTACTTAGACATCCAAACGATTTTTAAAACCTAGTGGAGGCACAACAGATCTAAAACTGAAACAAAATCTATGTCTAAATGCTACTGAATCATGCTGATTGCCTCAGTGCAATCTGGAGTTCTAAATTCTAAGCAGTGCATTTCAAACTTTTCCAAAAGTTAAGGAATAAATTAGAAATACTGATGTTCTAAATAAGGTGGTGAAGTTAAGGCAATGTCAGTCATATGAAAACCATCATAAGGCAAAGGGGACACGGGGCCTTAATTTCCACAAATGCCACATAGTGAGTGTGTGGGGTGTCACACCATTGTCTCAAAACTACCCTATTTACATGGCAGATGAGCTATTTGGGCCTACATCACTTGAGACAATAGACTTGGTCAAAGTGTCTAAACATACTGAAAGCCAGGGGTGACAAGGTGATTTCATGGTTACACGGAACCAACGCTGAAGTCCTCTCACTGCATTTTACTTTAGCCACTGCTTCATGAAAAAAATGAGACCAGAAATAGAGGAAGCAAAGCTCAGAAGATGTCAGGGGATCTTATGTCAATAACAGCTTGGTCACCACTTCATACACACCTGTGCCCCCCAACATGCATACTTATGAGCTCAAAGACAGACTTCCCCAAGCAAGAGCAAGACCATTGTGTGGAGGCATGAGACAGTGAAGAGGGGAGGACAAAAAAAATTAAATTGTGAGGTTTTACAAGTTTTGATGCAGGACTTTGCTTTGAATAAAGTTTCCACTACCTGGAACCTCTGCAGAAATACCAAAATAACACACTCTAGAACAAGTGCCCAATCTCAGAACTGTTTCCTCAGGACCCTGGTTACAAGAAAATACTAACTTGCAATTTTGCAGGGCATTGCAGCAAAACCCTCACAGGCTCTTCGGTACACTTTTAGAAACCTGCACTCAAAATAATACTAAGGTGAAAAAAAGGAGGCAGTTCTTTGCTCAAAAATAAAACTTGTGTAGTTTTCTTTAAATTTCTTGGAGATGGAAATGCTTTTAAAAAAAAAAAAAGGACTAAGGGATAAACACACTCCACTAGGTTGTTTGGCATTTTCACTGAAATACATACAAATTTTGCATAGATACCATAAAAGAATTGTGCCATGTGAGCAATGCATTCATAATTGAATGTTACCAGTAAACAAAATACAGCAAATTTAGATTTTTACCAGCTTTCTTTCAATTTTCCCCATATCATTTAATCCAAACCCTCTTCAATTTTCATTGCCCAAATTTATTTACGTTGGTTGAAAAAAAAAAGAACTGATTCAGTAAACTTTTTACAGACTGTAGCAAGTATTTATTAACTATTTAGAAAAAACATTTCTATATATTTTGTATATCTATGAATATTGCATATCTAGTCTAATTCTAAAAATATTGAGACATTCTGTGATGCTTCCTTACCATACTCAATTTTGTTTAAAATCTTAGGATTTTGTTTTTAAGCTGAAATAGATAACAAAGAAGAAATTTAACTTTAAATGTTTACATAGTTTTTAAATTAAAACCAACCTAAATTAAGTGACCTATAATAAATTAATGGCAATGGGGGGAGGTATGTAAAAGTTATTCACATACTCTGTGATAATGTATCTGTGTATTTAGTGAAATATTATGTATCATAGCACAACTGCTGGGTATGAAGGCTTCTTAGCATTTCCCTGTGTTGTTCTTTGAAATAAAATTATTACCATAAAATAACCTCTTATCATATTGATGTGTTTAATTTACTCCATTGACTTATAATTTACAAAATACCGAGGCAGCATTTTTGTACTATTATTGGAAGCATGCCTTCCTTTTTCACATTATTAAATTGTATTTATATTTGTGCAATTTTAAACTATGTTTTCAAATAAATTTTGTGGTTTCAAGATTTTTTCAGAAATCTTTCAAAGTGGGATTTGGGGATCAGAATTGCTTCAAATGAAACAGTCCAATTTGTACTACTGGTTGAAAGCCCCTTTTATTGAATATCTTATTTTTGTTTGAGTTATCTGCAAACCAAGAATGCATTTTTAGGTATAGAATAATACTTTAAAATCTTCCTTCTTTGTTAATTTTTAAAACTAAAATCTTATTTAACCTGAAATTGGATTTTGTGATTTTTGTTTTTTAGAATAAAAGTATTAAAATATCTTTCAGTTTTAGGGTCTTTTTTTTTTCTCTTTTTTCTTTTTTCTATTTTTTTTGGTCAGTCAATAAATATTTCAGCACCTCCTACATATAGGTACTCTTCTAGTGTGGGACAGTACTAGCAAGTCAATCAAATCAAACTTGCCCTTGAAAAGCTTAGATTTCTATGAGACCAACAAATACAAGAATGTCATGTGCTGTGAACAGTTAGAACAAGACAAACAGTATCACGAGAGCTCCTTTATCTCATGTCTGGGCTGAGATTTAAACAAGAAGCCAGCCACGTGGAGTTGGGGACAACCGTTCCTGGCAGAGCCAACAGCCAGCACGAGATGCCAAGGTAGGAATGAGCTGGGTGGTTGTTCAAGGAGAAAGGAGCCCAGGGCAGTGAGCACTGTGAGCTGCGGAGAACTTAGGACGTGCCCTGGCAGGAGAGGAGTTCCGGGAGGCCTTCACCGAGCAGGGGAAAGGGTAGAGTGGTCCCCCGAGCAGAGAAGGGATGCAGCCGAGAAAGATCGTGTTTACCAAGGTCCTTGAGTGGCCAAGTGGGTGTGATGTGGGGAACACATTCAAATGAAGGGAGTGACAAGGAGACTGGTGCACCCCCTTCTCCCTCCTCACTGTCCCTCCTCACTGTCCTTGCTTTTGATTTGAGGCAGCATTTAACCATGGTGGAATTTCACTTTCTCTGTAAACCAAGGTGTATGTCTCTTTTACTGCTTCACTGCTCTGTAAAAGGTAGGGTTCTACCCACCCACCAGTGCGACTTGTGGCTCCTCTCGCATAGCTCAAACCTTTCTTACATCTCCTACTCCCACTTTTTAAACCTGAATTATATCTATTTCCTCAAATAGCTGCTTCAGTCCATGCGGATATATAAAAGCAGCCCAAGGTTTGAAATATTCTTTACACTGCTATGCAAGGCTCCTTAAGGTAAGACCTTACCTATTCTGTACTTGAGCACTTACAAAAGACTTAATCGTTTTTTCCTTACTTACACTTCATGATTAATAATGCTGCCTGCCAATTATGAGTCAGAACTTTGGAAACTGATGGTTAATTGTTGTATTTTGCCCTGTGGAACTAAACTACTGACGCTCAGTACGCCCCCTGCTTGAGTTTGTTCTCCTGAGTTTAGAAAAGTGGAGACCAGACAGTACAGCCTTCCAGCCCGAGTTCTTTGAAAGGGAAACAGGAAGCTAATATTTACTGAAACCTGCTGTCCAGATTCCTAGGCTGGGTGTTTCTACTCTGCCATTTTAACCCTAATGGGCACCTAAGTCCTATGCCCTTACCCAACTAAAAATGCATGCAGTCCATAATTAGTATTACTGCAAATAATGAACATAATAGCGAAAACTATGCCAGGTGGAAAAAAAAATGTCTCATAGATTAAAAACTAACTACAGAGATCACATCTAATACCAAAAACTTCAAAAAATGACCCAGAAAAATGCAGGCTTGAGAGAAGTTACCAGGAAGATAGCTAACACTGCTCATAGTAAAATTTGCTATTGATTAAAAATGGACAAAAGAATAAAATCTTCTGGACAAAATTTAGATTTTCAAAATTTGACCCAGTAAAGATGAACCCAGTGGAAATAATGACTGCAAAAGGAAATCTGCAATAGCACAGTTATAATAAGGAAAATTTGATAAGGAGCAAATACTGATGATTCAGACTGTCCTCATGAAATCTACAGAACTGATACTAATTAATTTCGTTAAAATAGAGAAGGAAATGTAAAAGTGCAATCAGTTCAGCCCGTTAACTATTTCACACCTTGTATCCCACAAATTCCCAGTCTCCCTGTGCTCTGCCTAAATTGACCATCTTGCTTTCTACTTCCCTGAGAAAAATGAATGCAGGCAGGAGAGAACTCCCAGACTCTCAGCACACCCTCTCTACTCGGCTGCACCTGCACTCCCGGTCTCAGCCTTCCTCCTGCCCCCACAGATAGGCTTCCCAGCCCCGTCTAATGTCAGCTTGACCTTGGCACCGATCCCATCAGATCTTGCCTGCTCAAGGACAGCAGACCAGCAATTCTTATATTTCTCTCCTACATTCTCACAATTACACTTTTTTATTTGACCGTCTTACTTCTTATATTTATTTTTTATCATTTTTCCTTTTACTTTTATCTGCATGTATCTTATGCCAAATTTATTCTCAGGCCATAAGTTCCTGCTTCTTCAGTTTCTTCTGGAATATCTTTTCCTTCTGTGCAACCTGCTCTTTTTTCAGAGGATAACTCAATGTGGCAGGGAGAGCTGGTGTAGGGGTTAATCCGACCATGAGCTCTGCAAAATCTGTGCCAAATCCTGGCAGCTTGCTCACCTGGATATGCTCAATGACCAGACAATCTACATCTAAACCTATAGGTACAGCATTACTCTCTGCACTTCTCAGCACGTGCAGTAAAAATTCAGCACTCTTTTGGGGCCACCGACCGTGTAATTTACTCCCACTGTTCGGCCTGGGCACACCTTCCAACTCCACCATTGTAGCGATGGAATGGCACAGATTCCTTCTGTAAGGTGATATCCTCCAGATACTTGGTGGCCTTTCAGTTTTGCACACTCTTGATGGCCTAGGCAGTTTCACAAGTGTTCTTAAAGGGAGCACAAAGATTTGAACCTCTTGATTTGTATGATTTTGTGGGGTTTTCTCGGCCAAGTGAATAGCAAATCATTTTCAGAGATCACTTCAAGCTGCTTACCGGAAAAGGAAGAGCTTATTTCTCATGTTTAAAACAAAAACTTCTCTTGATCCCTGTCCACATCCCATCAGCCACCACCTGTTTTTTTGCTTCCTTTTGTAGCAAAACTTCCCGCAGTTATCTGTATTCATCTTCTGCAATTCCTCTCCTCCCAAAGTGTTCCCATAGAGACCACCCATGACCTTCAAGCTGATCAATCTCATGGTCAGCTGATCCTGCTTCACCTGTCACACTTACTTGATTGCTCACTCTTGCCTCCTCAAGACACTTTTGCTCACGCAGCTCCCATTTCCAGGCACCATTCTTCTAGTCTTCATCCACCATGGTGGTTACTCCTCTCACCTTGACTGGCTTGTCTTCTGACTTCTTAGTTAAAGGGCTCAGTCCCTAGACCTCTTCTTTTTCCTGTCTCCTGCCATTGACAATGCACCCAGTCCCACAGCTCTAAATGCTATTGAAATACCAACAACTCTCAATTTTATATCTTCAGTCTAGACCTCTCTCTCTTAATCTAGAACTATATATCCAGCTTCCTACTCAGCATCAACCATGGGGAGGCTTATAGGCATTTATATCCCAAACTGGACCCCCGATCATCTCTCCCTGTCACCAGCTGCCAACCCCACCAAGACTTTCCAATTTTAGTTGATTGCAGCTACACATTCTTCAGTTGCTCAGAAAAAAAACTTTGGAGTCAGCTAGCAACTCTCATTCCCTCACAGCCTACATCATACTCATCAGGAAATCCTACTGGCTTTACCTTCAGATGCACCCAGAATCTGACCATCCTTACTACCTCCAATGCTACCACCACCCCATCCATCTGAGCCATCAACCTCTCTCACCTTGCTTACCACAGCAGCCCCTACTTCTTTGTCCCTCCTACCACTTAATCTAAACAAGGAATCTCCCAGGAACTTTGGTCAGATCAGGTAGTTGCTGTGATCAAGACCCCAAAATGGTTCCCCATTGCACTGTGCAGTCCAGCCTGCCAAGAGGCCTCTGGGCTCAGGAGACCCGGCCGCTATCTGATCTCCTGTCCCATTTCTCTCCCCCCTCATTCCCTTCTCTGGAACCGCACTGGCCCTCTTGCTGCTTCTCTGACCTACCAGTGGTGCCCCCCCCACCCCGAAGCCTCTGCTCCAGATGGTCCCTCTGCCAAGCATACGCTTCCTCCGCACATCCCTTTGGATGACTCCTTCGCCTCCTTCAAGTCTTGGTTCAAATCTCACCCAGAGGATGCCTCCCCAGAGCACTTAGCACTGCAACTGGCACCTCCACCCCTGCTCTACTTCTTTTTCCCACAGCACTCCCTATCTTTTGATAAACTATGTAAATGTCTTATGTTGACTATGTCTCACCACGAAAGAAAATAAACTCAAAAAGGGCACACATCCTTGTCTGTTTACTGATACATTCTAAGAAAAGCAATGACTGGCACACAGCAGATGTTTAATATTTATTGAATTATGAGCTGTGCTATACAGATTAACAAAATTAATTGCCTAATGAAATTATCTCCGGAAAATTACTTTTTAAAAAGTCATCTACGTTGGTATAGTTCTGATTCTTTAAGATTTTGTAGACTGAAACAAAGGGTCAAAACCTCCTTAGGGCCAAAATGCTATATGGGTTAAAGTGGTTATATAAAATAGGGTGAAAATATCCTCTGTCCACCAGATGCTTTACATAATTCATCCCTCATATCATTATTTTTTTAAATTTTTTTTGTTATAATTAATCTACAATTACATGAAGAACATTATGTTTACTAGGCTCCCCCCTCACAAAGTCCCCCACACACACCCCATTACAGTCACTGTCCATCAGCGTAGTAAGATGCTATAGAATCACTACTTGTCTTCACTGTGTTGCACAGCCCTCCCCATGCACCGCTCCCCCCAACATTATACATGCTAAGTAAGGCCTCCTTTCTTTTTTCCCCACCCTTATCCCTCCCTTCCCACCTATCCTCCCCAGTCCCTTTCCCTTTGGTAACTGTTAGTCCATTCTTGGGTTCTGTGATTCTGCTGCTGTTTTGTTCCTTCAGTTTTTCTTTATTCTTATATTCCACATATGAGTGAAATCATTTGATACTTGTTTTTCTCCACCTGGCTTATTTTACTGAGCATAATACCCTCTAGCTTCTTCCATGTTGTTGCAAATGGTAGGATTTGTTTTCTTATTATTCAATAATATTTCATTGTGTATATGTACCACATCTTCTTTATCCATTCATCTACTGATGGACATTTAGGTTGCTTCCATTTCTTGGCTATTGTAAATAGTGCTGCAATAAACATAGGGGTGCATCTGTCTTTTTCAAACTGGGCTGCTGCTTTCTTATGGTAAATTCCTAGAAGTGGAATTCCTAGGTCAAATGGTATGTCTATTTTGAGCTTTTTGAGGAACCTCCATACTGCTTTCCACAATGGTTGAACTAATTTACATTCCCACCAGCAGTGTAGGAGGGTTCCCCTTTCTCCACAACCTCGCCAACATGTGTTGTCGTTTGTCTTTTGGATGGTGGCGATCCTTACTTCATCCCACAAATTATTACATCCACTGCATAGATGAGAAGACTGAGTCTTAGGATATTAAGTGTTTGCTGAAGTCACATAGCAAGTTTGTGCTGGGAACAAGATTTGAACTCAAGTCTTCCTCTACTTTTGCCATTATACCACCCTGCCTCCCTACCTCACTGATTTTTCCTAGTAGACTTTGAAAATAATTGGTTGCATGAGAATGAGAATAAGTCAGTTTTCTTATGAAATTTCTCCACTATGACTGAAGCTTGTCACTGACTACATTCAGAAGCAAGACCTTTAATTTCTAACACATACACACCCTCATAAACTCTCCCATTGGGTAGGATGGGATACAGCAAATGAATGGAGGCAGCAGCTGACCTGCAAACATGGTCTTTAAAACTTTACAATTCTTGAGTCATAAATAAACCCTTATTCCACTCATTTCCTCCTCCTCTTATCCCTCTCACCAAAAGATATGGCACAATACTGATGTCAGTCATTTTACTTGGATTTTTTTTTAATGTATAGGTTGATCTTGATCTTTTAAAAATTATAAGCACTGAATGGACACCTTTTAAGTAGTAATTACCACACCTCTATGAAAGGAAAAATAATGCCCCACAAAGACATCCACGTCCTAATCCCCAAAGCCTGAGCATGTGTTACCTTACAGGCAGATATGATTAAGGATCTTGAGACAGGAAGCCTATGCCAGACTATCTGGGTGGACCCACATATTCATAAGGATCCTTATAAGAGGGAGGCAGGAGAGCCAGTCAGAGAAAATCTGGCAGTGGAAGCAGATGCTGGAGTAATGCCAACATGATTAGGAGGCCAGGAGCCAAGGAACATGACCAAATTTTGGAAGCTGCAAAAGGCAAGGACTGTATTCTCTCCCATGCTTCCCTGTCAGTGCCTTGACTTTAGCTCTGTAAGACCCATTTTCAGACTTCTCATCTAATAAATTGTTTTGAGCCACTAAGTTTGTGGGATTTGTTACACCACCAATAGGAAACTCATACACCTCCGAAGTGCAGTGTCACGGAAATGCTGAAATCCTTTGATGAACTAGTGTTGATTCTGCTTGAACCTGTGTTAAGGAAGCCACCTGCAAACTGAGAGCCAGAGAACCACAGACAGGTCTCACCTGACTCCAGTATAGGACCTGACATCCAGTGGACAGGCTGAAAGGCCTCAGACTCCTCCCTGCCCCCCCACCACCACCCCTCCGCTCTTCAGAGAGTAACATTTTGCCTTTGCTGATGTTTCACTACTACTGGGGGCCGGGCAGCCTTGGTGCCCACACAAAGAAACCCTAAAAAAGAAATACAGTTAGTCACTGTCTCAAGTTATTTGTTCCTCTGACAGATGAGAAGCTGCAAAGAGCAGAATTAGTTTACTTTGTATTTTGCAAAAGGAAAAAAAGAAAAGCCATAAAGGAGCCTCAGATTGTGAGAATAGCTTTTTAATTTTAAAACAATTGAAGCAATAAATCATCCATCTCTCTTTCCATCACAGGCAAATATTCTCCCAAAACATTTGAGATAGTTTCAACAACTGTGACTAGTGCAAAATAAAATAAATACAAACTCTTTCAGGAGCCAGCATCAGAACCTGCTGGGCAGGAGGATGCTGGCAACAGCCTCAGTCTCTGCCAAGGCCGAGGAGCAGTACATCGAGGGTGGCAAGATTTACACAGTATTTCAACACACTCAACTCAGAACAGACTAGACAACGCCTGGGGAGGGGAAACCACAAGAGAATGTTGCCTAAAGTGAAACAAATACGCCCAGCACCATCACGTACCTCACATCCTTGGCACCTACAAGATGTTTAAAAAATAACTACCAAGTTAGCAGTTTCTAGGCAAAGCTGAAGGAACAGGGTCTGGGGCTCATTTACTTCTGTTTCTTTGGGGTCCTATACATATTGGTTTTTACATAGAAAAATCTTCTGCTTTCCAGAGGACATTCTCTGCCTAACAGTGCTCCCGCCTCCAGTGGAAATGCATGTGCTTCTCTGTCCAGATGCTTGGGAGAATGGCCTTCCCTACCTATGGCATGGTGCTGCCCGCCCCACCCACACCATCCAGTCTAGTAGCCACATTTAAAAAAGTGATAAAAAGGAATAAGTGAAATTTAGTAATCACTTATTCAATATATCTAAAATATTGTCATTTTAGCATGTTACTAATATAAAACGATTGCTTTTTTTTTTTTTTGGTACCAAGCCTTAAAATTCTGGTGTGTATTTTATGTGTACAGCACAGTCTCAATTTGGGCAAGCCAAATTTCAAGAGATCATTAGCCCCATGTGGCTGTTGACTACTCTATCAAATAGCACAGGTCTAGAAAAAAAAGTGATAAAAAGGAATAAGTGAAATTTAGTAATCACTTATTCAATATATCTAAAATATTGTCATTTTAGCATGTTACTAATATAAAACGATTGCTTTTTTTTTTTTTTGGTACCAAGCCTTAAAATTCTGGTGTGTATTTTATGTGTACAGCACAGTCTCAATTTGGGCAAGCCAAATTTCAAGAGATCATTAGCCCCATGTGGCTGTTGACTACTCTATCAAATAGCACAGGTCTAGAGAATCTTAATACAAACTCTTTCAGGATGATTTACTGAGTAGGGAATCTCCATGGCACTGCATAGGTGATCTTTCACACCAACTTAACAGTACAGATCCTTGGTCTGTAACCTAGATTTCTGACTTAAGGGAAAGGATAGGAATCACATTTTATCTAATCCCATCCCCTGGTCCTATGCCTGTCACCTGCCATCTCCCCGTAGGTGACCAACAAAGATGTTATAATTTAGCTAAAGTGATGTCTGCAAGATGAAAAGACATCTTTTCACTGATAGACAGCTTCCTCAGCACTTACTTGGGGATCATAGCTACAGCTGAATTAGAATGAGAAACTATTCCATGCTTGTCACAAGTTTAACTGAAGGTAGTTCTGAGGTTTTTCAGGGCAGATGGATGTTTCACTTCTGAGGGGAACGGTAACAAAAAGTACCTCAAAGACTGAGAAGTAGAGAATTTAAAGAGCAAGGGGGAAATGGGGTAATTACCAAAGAAAGTGGGAATAGAAGTTGGGATGGGGACACTAAAAAGGACCCAGATTCTCAAATGGGGTGTGGGAGCTATAACAAACCAAAAACATGGCATCCAACCCCCTAGGTGATCCCTCACATCTCACATGTCTGACCTCAGGAGTAACCACAGAAAATAAAAATAGAATCAAATGTTAGGGGCAGCAAAGGACTTCCGAGCTTCTGTAGTCTAATCTCCTCACGTTAAAGGAAAGGCCCAGAGAGGTAAAGTGGCTGGGCCCCATCACACTTACAGATGGAGTCAGGCTACAAACCCAAGTGCTCTCACTACGAACCACAAGTAAGGCTCAGCCCAGCTCAGGTCAAGGGAGCAAAGGGTGCTGGGCATCACAGGCTCGAGCTCCTTGCACTGGGCTTCCTGCAGTCTGACGTAAGCATGGGGGGATGGCAGGCACATTCTCTTGTGGTTGGAAGAAAACAGCCAAGTCAATTCAAAACACTGAAGTGATGTTGATGTAAAATGGCATTAAAATACGATTCTTCCTATAATTCACTCTGCATGCTTTTTTTCCCTTAAAAAAAAATCCCAATCTGAACGAAACTTGATTTCTGATTAGTTAAGTGGGCATTTCAATTAATTGACAAAATAACAACTTTGATACATTTTTCCAGACACATTCATTGGGATTTTACACAAATGGATATCAAAAGATATTTACAGGGAAAAAGTGCCCTCTTTCACACATACACCCACACACAGAGAGAATTTCACAATTATACCACCACACTTCACTAAGGACTCCTAACAGGCTGATAGTCTGACAAAATCCACACGTTATTCCAGTTTTCAGTCACAAATAATCTCTTCATATGTAAAATTAAGCAGTATGCTCCAGACTTTTATTCCAGGAAATTCTGCCGTGTATATACTAATGTATACATATAAATATATTTTTAAGCAAGAAAGAAATCTATTACTTGATCCAGTTTGTCCCAACTCTCAATCTGAAAGAAAGAATAGCACATATACAAAACTTTGCCTTGTAGAAATAGCCCTTTGTTAGTGAGGCAGAAAAAAAGGCAGCCATATTACACTTTCTTACAATATGTTTAGGCATCAAAAGGGCTAATTTGCTAATTTATTTCTCTACTTAATGAAATTAAATAGTGTGTACCCTATAGTGTTATATACTGATTTTACACCATTTTTTTGCAAAGTTTTATTATAAAATTTTTGTTTTGTTCAAAATACACTTACTACCTTTGTCCACATTTCAAGTCAAATTTCCAATAATCCCCCAAACCCCCCCCCAAAAAAGGCCTTCACTTTGTAATAACATTGAAAACAAGTCATTTTTTTTATGTGTGTTTAGAGTTGTTGTTCTATGATACTCAGCCCTAAGGAGACTGGATTTTGTAAGGCTGCTTAGCATGGGGATTTCTACAGGGTCAAGGACTTGTATAACAGATGAGACTGCTTTAGGATACCTAAGTCAGCATCAGAAGGTGACACCAGTGGGCATGCTTAGTAGAGAATTACTGCACCATGAGCTCCTCCTTAGGCCAATCACATTTGTTCCCAAATTGAAGAAACCCTCAGACAACAGAAGGGAAAGAGCATACTCTACTAGGACCCACCGTGGTATACCACCTGCTACTCTTTTCATCAGATCAAATCTCACCGTACCCTCAAAGCACAGCTAGGAAGAAGAGCGAGTGTCATCACACCACTGTGCAGATAAGGAAAGTGAGGCAAGGGTGGGTGAGGGACCTGCCCAGCTGGGGCAGCACCCAGGTCTCTGGCTATGGGCTCCAGGCTCCACACCCCTCGCCCACCACAGGGCATGATGTGAGACAGGCCCCGATCATAAGCAGAATCCTGACTGTTCACAACTCACCAACTCACAATCCAACATATGTGCTGTATTTCACCTAACTGATTCTACTTTACTTTCCTACAGTTTCTAGAAAGATTCTTTCTACCAATCAATTCATGTTAAGTGGACAGCAATAAATCCTTTTTCATTTGACTGAGTAATCTGAAATAGAAACTCCAGAGACCTTGGAATTTGGTACAGAGTGGCTGGAAAATTATAGAGCACTAGTGTTCCATTTTTTCCACCACATTTGAAACTCTGATTTAATCCCAGGTTGCATTTAAAATACTGAAACACCAAAATGGAAATGATAGTCTTTCATAATGTCATATAAAGTTTCTTTGCACCTGAACCCCTTAGATTGCCCAAGATCACACTATTAGTCACAGCAGATAAGCAGAGGGGCAAGTCAGGAGGTGACTGGCCAAGAGGGATCAGAGATGACACTGACTCCAGAAAACACAGAAATGGAGGCAGGCAAAAAGCTCAGGGACAGGACAATTCCAGACAACTTTGAGATGCTGAACCTGAGTCCAGGGAGTTGTCACATGTTACAGTAAGAATAGATCAGCCATTTTAACAAAAAATACACACTATACCTTAGAAGAAAAGGCTGCTGAGAAACAGAATTCATCTACTCTTGGCACAGAACGATCCTGGGCTGCTGTGGTCATCTGATGCCCTCCCATTCTATGTCCCAAACCCATGTGGATTCTTGACAGTACTTAAAGGGACAACTCAGCCCTCTGCATGCCTGAAAATCTAAGTGGGAGCTAATTTTTAAAACAGTTCCTGAGTTATAGTTTCCTTAACATACTTACTTGCTCTTTCCAGCTTTCCTTAATACCAACTGTTTTAACCTTTAAAAACCAACCCACCACAGATTTTCTAGTTGACTATAAAGGTCTCACACTCTCCAGCTCATTCTCACACACATTCACACAATCGGATGACAAATGTTGATAGGGTTAAATTAAAAATATCTTTCATTGCAGATGCTCTAGTCTACTATACAACGATAGCTCAGAACTTACTGTGTGTTATGAAAAAATTATGTCACAAGTAGAGCTCAGCCCCATTACTGATTTTCTATATGAAACAAAAGTGGGCTTTTCGTTTATTGTGGGTGAGGTCACACCACTGACCCTCCAAAGCAAAACAGAGGGCTGGTGGCACTTTCCTGGTTTTGATGTGCCAGTAACAGATCCGCCACCAGCAATATGAATATTCTTTTAGTTATCCTCTCTTTGAACATTTATAAAAAGAAAAACTATCTACAGTTGTGTATCATCACTAATAGAAATTTCTTTCCAGTTCTATTTCAGAAGGCGTCAAATGATGTTCTTTAAATAAGTTATAAATACCCCATGTATTCCTGTCCATGTATTGGCTGTCCCAACTTCATACTTTTATTTTTTGGCAAATTAAAAAGGCATATGGCTTCTCGCCAATTTGTATGTCTGAAGCTTAGCTTGGTATCCTGCGGTAAAAATACATGTAGCCCAGGTCTTTAGGGGGTCTTTCTGAGGCACAAACTTTGTGGTCATTGTAGATCACCCATCTGGAAACAAAAGACAGAAGCATTTGGTGTATTTAAGTCAGTTCCAGGAAACTCTGCAGAAAAAAACTACTGTCCCATACTTAAAACAATCAAGATGTTTAAGATAACCAAACTCAAATCTATTGTACAAAAGGGAACAGGATGCTGGTGGAAAATTACAACTGCTTTTTTTATTCTACAACTCAATCAAAAAGTACCTACTAAAGGAGCCTTTTACAAACATTTTAAACCATTTGAACTCATAATTCCACTTGTAGAAATCCACAGCCTCAGAAATTGAGTCAAAAAAAGTACAACAGTATTTATTTCAACCATTGGTATAAAATGAGTTAAAAATCAGAAGTAAATAGCTATGCAATAAACTATTACACAACTATTAAAATGTCCTCAAAGAATATTTGGTAAAGTGAAAAAATAATTACATTATAATATGAAGTGTGGAAAAGCCGGCTACAAAATTGTATGTACTATGTACATACTTAAAGCTTTTAGAATAATTGTAAATATATGTATATCTATGTGTAGTATGTGCATATATAGACATATACACCATCTCCTAATGAAAACATCAAAACAGAGAAACACATCAAAATATAGGCAATAGTTATCTCTAGACTTCCAGAGGACATATTCTTGGTATGTTTCTGTATTTTACAAATTCTTTATAATGAATTTACTGCTTTTTAAATGATATTTAAGCTATTTTTCTTAAGGTGTTATTAAAAGAGTTGTCATGTTGACAATAAGAAGAGTTCACTATAAGTCAAGTTCCTGTGTTCAAGTATTTTATTAATCAGGTTGAGAAGACAAGATAAAATGACACATCAGTAAGTAACACTATTGAATCCTGGGTGGGAACTGGTCACTGCTGTGGGGTGAGGCCTGGTGGGAGAGGCCAGTGTCCCCGGGGGAGGCAGAAGTGAAGTGCACCCATGTAGCCTGCACCCTGCACATGCAGGAATGCTGACCCCCAGGCCACTGCAGGGAGCTCAAGGAAGGGAGGCCAGTGGGGCTGTTGGGATCCAGCCCAGGAAGAAGCTTTCTGAAGAGAGCAGCAGCCTTACATCCAGTAACTGTCTCACTCTTGGCTCACCTCACACCTAACAATTCTACTGAAGACACCATAAGCCTACGGCAAAGCTGAGATAAGGCAGAACTTTGGATGTTCAGGGCTGCCAGATAAAACACAGGTTACTAAGTCAAATTTGAATTCCAAGTAAGCAGAAAATAATTTTTAGTATGGGTATGTCCCATGCAACATTTAAGACTTGTTTATACTAAAATGTTACTGGTTGTCTCTCTGAAATTCTGATTTAATAGGGCATCCTGGGTTTCTTGTTTGTTTTGTTGGCTAAATCCAGCAGTGCTATGGAGGCTCCAAACATGCACAGATTCTGCTGCAGAATTTGGGGACGTCAACTTGGTATGATGGCTTAAAGTGGCTTTCCAGACCAGCTCTGATAGTTACTTACTAGCTAAAGTCAAGCTAGTCAACCTCCCTGCCCCTCAGTGTCTTGATGTACAAAATGGCTTTCAGGGGACATCCTTACCAGACCATTGTGAGAACCAAATGAGAGAACATATAAACATCCAGTAGAGGACCTAGCACAGAGTAGGAGCTCACCAAAATATAGATATAATTTACCCTCTAAAAAAGACTCACCTTCCTTCTTTTTTGATATGGCAAACATAATGGCCACTCATTGTAGATGTTCCCATGTGACTGATGAATGCAAACAATTCATACACTATGAAAGAGAAAACAACTCAGTTACAGGGCAGCATTTCTAGAAATCAATAGCACTTCTGATTTGAATTTAAAGCCAACAACAGTGTGATCTAGCAACAGTTAGACCAAAAGACAAAGCCTATTCCTCTCCCTCCTGAGAACATATGCACACAGCCCCAAAACGACACCAGAGGCAACCTGCAAATTCCTAACAAAGCAGGACACAAACTATCAAAGTACAGTGCACATTAGATTCATTATCTGGGAGGGGCTTAAAGCCCTGCCGCTCAGTCTGGTGGCCAACTCCTGGGTCCTAACGGGCAGTCCCAGCTGCAGCTCCTCCAAGCAGCATGAGGTTGAGGGTGGAGAAAATGTTTCATCTCTCTGAGCCCGTTTCCTCCTAGAGATGAAAAACCCACCCACTTCATAAGGTTGTATAAGGTTTAACTATACTGGACCAAAATTCAGGCTGCATGCTTTCTGAACAAGGAAATGTATTGCCTGTTAGAGCATGGGACCAATGTTTATTCTCAAACAAGTAGCCCTTGTGATGTAACTCAGTATTCTGTACCAAATCCATGTTGAATGAATTTCAACTCAATCTCCCCTGGGCCAAGGTAGACCTACGAACCACAGAGTGGGTTCCCTGGGCTAGCACCAGTCCACTCCTCAGACTGAGACTGTGAGGAGACAGGGACAGACATTGAGTGACCGTTTCACTCTTTTATAATAATTTCAGAATAATATTCATGTCTGTCAAATCCAATAAGGAAAAAATGGGCTGCATATTTGTTTACCTAGTACTCAATTACCATTGCATTTTCCTAAGCATTGGCTCTGGATGCGCCCTATCCCTCTGCTCTCCCTCTCCCATTCTCTCTCTCTCTTGCCACTCACCAATGCTGAGCCGCTTAGTCGGCTGCCAATGCCCAGGCCTCATCTTACCTACCCTTCAGCACATCACCTGCTGCTGATCACCTCCCCCCTCCTCAAACATCTGCCCCCAGAAATTACCATCTCTTGGCTGTCCAGCTGCCTGCTGGCTCCTCATCTCCCTGACCTTCAAACATTAGTGACCTGAAGCTCAGACCTTAGACCTTTCTTTTCTCTATCCCACTCTCTCTCTTTGGGTGATCTCATCCAGTCTCATGGTATTAAATGGAATTATTTTCTTAATTATTTCTGGACTGTTCATTGATAATGTAAATTGAACTTTTGTATATCAATCTTGTTTCCTACCTTTCTGACCCCATTTATTAGTTCTAATAGTTTCTTAGTAGATTCCTAAAGATTTTCTATATACAAGATAGTGTAACACCAGTGATTCAGGAAGTAACACCTGCCATGTCACATACTTCTGCATTTATTTATTGTCTATCTCTTCACCTAGTCCAGAATATAGCTCCACAAGCACAAGCAGTGAGATGTCTGTTGTGTGTACCAAACTATTCCAGGCACAGACAATGGTGCTTAGCATGCAGGAGGCACCTAGCAAGTTGAATGTATAAATAAATGAGTGAATTAAGAAATAACTCCCTTCACTCCATTTCCTCACTTGTTTGTATATCATCTTATATTGTATATATTTTTATAAAGCACCTACCAAAGTATAACTTGAAGTATAAATTAGTGAAATAATTATTTTTAAAAATGAATCAGAGGGGATTGCTTTTCCCATCATTAACTTTTTGTCACTATCATATCAACTGATGACATTGAAAGACAAAAAAAAAAAAGCCCAGGTTTCAAACTACGAAACAGGCAAAAATAAGTGCATGACAATCATTTTGCCTGGCCCTTATTTTTTGAAAGCATGAACCAGGTGCCCTTCCCTTTGCCCCCCAACACCAAGAGCCACTCTACCCCAGTGAATAAAAGAGGGTGTGGACTGAGACCTTCTCATGCTTCTTGATTCTAGCTGATTTTTAAAGCTCTTTGGAATAATTCTATATCAAATTCCAATTCTTCAGTTTGAGAGATACAGTGTTTATCTCCTAAAATGAGGCTGCCCTCTTAGAATTTTCATGAAATAAAGAGAGGACACAAGCAGGGGAGAGGCAGAAATGGGATAAAAGGGCACAATAATTTGCAACCACAATATTAAGTTGATCACGGGGACTGCTGAACCATTGTGATGTACATTTGAAACCCACGTAAGATTGTATATTAATGATACTTTAATTTAAAATAAATAAAGTAATACTTCAACAAAAAAAGAGGTAAAGAGAGGACATGATACCTCAGTCAAGGCTTTCTGCCCACAAGGAACTGTCCTCCAAAACAATGATTTAAGTAATTGAACAGAGTAATTAATGAGCATTGCCCACGACAAGCCTGGGTCATATCAATGAAACATTGCTTAGACATCAACACCACCAATGGATTAACAAAACAAACAGACAGAGAAAAGGACAAATCCATACACTCCAATATACCCAAACATGTCATTAAGCCCCTAAAGGCATTCCTTCCCCTCTTCAGTTAAAAATAATACATTCACATGTACACTCAGAATCAAATAAATTGAAGAAAAAAATGCATTAATCTTAGTCCTATAATTAAAATTAACCACATTTACCAATATTGGCAACCACTCCATACATTATTCAAGACCTCCTGCCAGGAACTAACAGCAAAAGAGAGAATCTCTCTAAACACATTTGCAAAAAACTCAACAAGTAAGAAATCTCAATTAATATTTGTTTCCAAAGAGAAAGTCAAGGTGAATAAACCAGACAGGGAAGCTCCTGCGGATTCATCTCCAAACTTCCACAGGTCCTCTTCTGAAAGACACCTTGAGGAAAGGTAAACCATTTTTAAAATGTTGACTTTCAACAGAAAAACTTGCAAAGTATCTGAAAGAGCCAGACAAAACTACCTAGCCCACTAGTCCAACATCTGCTGGATTCTGACCCTCTAAATACCCAAACTGAACAGTGTCTGGAACTAGCATCCTTCCTGCCCACATCCCTGTCTCAACAAAACTTGTCCTTTTTTTGAACTTAGGAAAATGTTCCCAACCTTTCTAATATGAAGACTATTTTAATATTGAAACTTTCCTACCACCACCTACACCCAACATAAGAGCGACTGTTCTCTGATGTTACTCTTTGAGAAATCACTGTCAGAAAAAGCACATGAAACTTGGAGAGTAGAGGAGGCAGGCAGCATGCCCTGACACGCCACAGGAAGGGGTGGCCACCCAAGGATTACCTTGGATAGGGACTGGCATACTACAATGACCCGCAAGCCAAATCCAGCCCACAGCCTATTTTTGTACTGCCAAGGGGAAAGGGGAGACAGAGGGGGACAAGAATATGAGATGATATGTGTATGGCCCACGATATTACTATCTGGCCCTTTAGAGGGAAGATTTGCTGGTTCCTGGTCTAGTGGAATGAACATAGTTCATCTCACTGCTTACTTCAGACAAAAGGTCTCAGACTTAATGAAGTTCCTTCTTAACTTGCATATTTTTGTCCAGTAAAGATAAAAAAAAAATCTCTTTCTAGTGGAACATATAATGTCAAGGATTTATGGTCCTGATAGACATTAATTTTATACCTAACTCAGCAATCAAATTATCTTTAAATATCCTAGCTTCTCAGATGCTCTTGAACCAGTGATAACAACTAACTGGGTTCCTCACTAATTAACGAATCAAAGAAAATCTGTGATATGTGTTCAGTTCATATGTAGCAGAGAGCCATGATTTTACCTTTTCGAAAATTGTAGTTCAACAACACATAATGACCAAAAGCAACTCTAGATTCAGGAATGCAGTTAAATTAATTTGTATTTTATAAAGCATTAAAACATCTACATGTATTTGAAAAGCAGCAGTATCTCGTAAGGGTGCATTATTTAGTCCACCTACAGAGCCTCAGACTACAGAAATACTGAAAGAGAGTCGAAATAACCACTAAGACCCCAGGGGCTCTGCAATTCTCTGGTGAGAAGCCCAAACTGATTTCTCCAAACTGAATCTTCCTAAATTGAATAATTTGTTTCATTATCCATCCCTAACTCCCTCTGCACAACAGAAAGAAAAATACCATCCCTGATGTACTAATATTTGATTCATGAACACCCTGTATCTGCAAACAATTTCTACCCCCCAATAGCTCGATTTCCCTCCTCCCTGCTCTGAGAAAAGGCGAGTATGGGGAGGACTTTGGTGCTTTTAGAAAACTTCTGAATTCCCAAAAAAGAAAAAAAGGAGGATTTGGGTAAAAGCCTGACCGGTTGTTCAAGGCAGCGGACAACACAGACAAATCTTAAAGGGTCTACAAATTGCCTCCCCAACCCCAGCCAGCTTAAATTTACCAATCCCCTTTGAGTTCTTTTGTTACACTGCCTAAAACTCCAAGTATCAAATGCTTCCCTCCAAGTTTAATACTTCAGTCACTCATACTTTAGTGTAAATTAGTTTACTCAGCTGAGTGGCTTCCTCTTACCTTCCAATAGCACCACTGAAAGAAAACAGGAATCACAAACAGGTGCTGATATGGGATGAGAATTAGAGCCTGGTGCGTTAAGTGTGTGTGGCCTTCAAGACCACTGGTGCTCAGCTTCCCCATGCAGCTGACTGCACCTACTGCTCTCAGGATCCTATTCCAGCTGCTTCCTCAGGGAGCCCAGCATTTTGGAAGCCCTGCCATTATGTAAATGAATGTCTCTCTGCACCCCTTGCTGGAAAATCGCAGCTGCAGCAAAAAATATCTGAACCATTACAGTGATGTGGCTGAAGGAGTCAGAGCAGACTTTGAGTAATCACAGTCTAATCACATTTTAATTACATTCGCAATCAGTGAGTTCTTAAAAAAAAAAGGAAAGAAAAATTAAGTGCTCATTAAGTACAACACAGAAACAGAAATCATCTTGCAAATGGCAGAAGCCCAGGTAGGTCAGATGGAAGGCTGATTTCCCATGTTTTAAAATTTTTAAAACTCAACAGTAAGTTAGGGGCTAACCCTAGAATGTGTACGACATGATGATAAACAGAGTCTTCTGAACAAA